GTACCTACGGTGCTACGTAGCTCCCGTCGGGTATCTACAACTACACCTCTAGTGCACCTAGCCGGGCAACCTCCTCTCCAAAGCGGGAATGACGGACGGACGTCCATACACTAGAGATCCATAGAGAGAACACCAGGTTCCTGAATAGAGTAAAAATAGGCGTTTAAGTGCCAATAGATAGAAATGACTCAAATAGAATTCAAACAGGGTTATACCACTCTTTTTGAACAAAATTCTGAAAGGCTTATAAATTCTGTTTATTAAAAAAAAATAACAATAGACATCATCTTTTTTAGTCAAAGGAGCGTTAACCTTGAATATCTATATAGTGCTAAAATAAATAATGTACTAAATTAGAATCTTTTTACTTTAATAGCCTTTTCCTTAAGAACATACTTATTTTTTTATCACCTTTCCACTCTAATAGCCTTTTTTTACTCTAATAGTCTTTTTCACTTATAGTTTCTCTTTCCTTTTCTTTCCTTTTTCTTAACTTCCATACCTTTTATTAACTATATTAAACTCTATTTCTACTACTCTCGCATATACAAAGGCTAGATAGTATAGTAAGTAATGTAAGTGCTTGATTTTGTGAGGTTTCTATTTAATTCCTTGCTATAATATTTAGTAAAACTACCTCTAAAAAGAAAATGCATTACCAAGAAGATATATTACTAACATAATGTATTACCAAGAAGATGTATTACTAAGAAGATGTATTACTAAGAAGATGTATTATTAAGAAGATGTATTATTAAGAAGATGTATTACTAAGGAGATGTATTACTAAGAAGATGTATTACGAAAAAGATGTATTACTAAGAAGAGAAGAGATAAACTATTGTATTAATAACCTCAATATAATAGTAATTTTTTTTCTTAGTTATTGTCTAATAGTCGTTGCTTCCTTCTTAGTAGATTGTGGATATCCTTTTCTAAGGAAAAGGCTAACCGGAACTCATTAGGCTATTAATACGATCACCAAAAAAGAGCCTTTCATACTATTAGCTCTAAACTCTATTCAGCATTGAACAGCCTTTTTGCTAAAAAAATCTTCTGCAACCATGCGAAAGAAGTAGTTCTGTTTCCTCAAATCAGGCTGTTTTGACCCTGTTTTGACCCTGTTCAGGAACCCGGTGTTCTCTCTATGGATAGGTAGGTGTACATACCTCTACTGTAGGTACCACTAGGCTTACTGGGTCTTACTGTTAGGTCAAGGACCACGCTACATAGGTACCTCCAGAACCAACATGTTACCTAGGCAGGCGGTGAATGCGAGAGGACACGTGAATGTTATTAGCCAGCGCATTGCATCTACACTACGGCAGTATGTGCCTCCCATGTGATGCCGAAGGTACCTACCTTTAAGTACACTACAGTACTTGGCGTACCTGCTGCCCCTGTGTAGTCGGGTATACTGTGTACACAGAGTTCCCTCCCGCCCTCTGGGCACTGTCCCTCTAAAAGACGGTGGTACATGGCGCCAAGAGAGTCACGTCTCCATGGGCTGTGTACTGTGTAAACAGTCCACTTTCTATACTACTCAGGGGCTCCGAAAGGAGGGATCCTTCTACAATACATACCTATACCTAGTGTACGTTCTTCCGGTTGATTTCAAAATCATTGTGTGTCGCAGACGAACGATTGAAAGTGTACCTCTAGTGTGCCTCAGGTCCAGATCGATCCTGGTAAGGACACAAAACCTGCAGGGCTCTTCATAAACCCATCAGACGACAGATCCGCCCGGGATAGCGGGGTAATACGGGGTGCCCTGAGCCAACGGCACAAGCCGTTCCTACAACTAGGTACTGACAGATCAGCAGATACCTTTCTCCCTGGACACTGGGCAAGAATTTCCGCTCCTGATAAGCTTGGAATTATGCTCACAGGTTCGACATCCGCGCCTCCGGTACGGTCTTTGGTACTGTCGCCGCGAGACAGTTCGGAGCTCTTGTCGCCAACAGGCCCCTTGACTCCAACATCGACCAAGGGTGCGGGTACAAGTGCCCTCTCCTCCAAGATCGCCAGCGTCTTGTCTACCTCGTATGCCGACACCGAGTTCCGTGAGGCCCTTTTCTTGCTTGATGAGCGAGGGCTTCAGAACGTAGCAGAGAACCGTCGCAAGCTTCGACTGGATCTCCAAAAAGAGGTCATCGACAGCAATGGAGAGATCATTCATGAATTCGGCAAAGTCGCCGAGGTATGTGTTGTTGTTCATACCACTCGAGTCCTGATCACTGGCGAGTGAGCCGCACACTGATACACTTTTAGCAACTCAAACGCATCGGCTACACCATCGGCAAGCTCAACGAAAGCTATAACGACATGAGAACACAGATCCATGCAGCTCACGCATCCACCGCATCCACCTTGGGCGAAGCCTCGCAACTCATGACGCAGAAGCGGCAGATCGAAAGCAAGCAAAAGTTGCTCTCGACCTTCAAGACCCACTTCATCCTCACACAGGACGAAGTTGACGCCTTGACCTTAACCTCGGAGCCTGTAGACGACCTCTTTTTCACAGTCCTCGCCAAGGCCAAGAAGATCAGCCGTGACTGCGAGGTTCTCTTGGGCTTTGAGGATCAGACGCTAGGGCTGGGCATCATGGAGCAGGTCACACGGAACTTGAATCACGGGTTCCAGAAGCTTTACCGATGGATCCAGAGGGAGTTTAAATCGCTGAATCTTGAGAACCCCCAAATTGGCTCGGCCATCCGTCGAGCTCTCCGCGTCCTGGCCGAGAGACCTACCCTTTTCCAAAACTGTTTAGATTTCTTCGCCGAAGCCCGCGAGCACGTCCTTTCCGAGGCTTTCTACACTGCCTTGACAGGCAGCTCGGCTGCTGGACTGGAGAACCCTTCGGTTAAGCCCATTGAGCTAGTAGCACATGACCCCTTGAGATATGTGGGGGACATGCTCGCCTGGTCTCACTCGGCCGCAGTGGGCGAAAGAGAGGCACTCGAAGTCTTGTTCATATCCGAGGGTGACGAGATCGCCAAAGGCATCCAGGTGGGCAGAGAGGCTGAAGTCTGGCGGCTCGTGGCCGAGGATGGGGAGGAAATGAATATCTTCGATCCTGTCGTGGCTCTGAACCAACTAGTAGATAGAGACATGTCTGGTGCAGTCCGCATATTACGACAGAGGGTCGAACAGGTTATTCAGACGAACGAGGAGACCATTCTGGCCTTCAAACTTGCGAACCTCATCAACTTTTATAAGAGCACATTCTCCAGGTTGGTGGGCCCGGCGTCGGTTCTCGTTGAAGCGATGGGTACCCTCGAAACGGAAGCATTGCGCCAATTCCGATCTCTGGCTCGGGACCACGTCGCCACTCTTCAAACTGAGTTCCAGCACACTCCACCAGACCTTCGGCCTCCCGACTTCCTTACGGTTGCGTTGGAACAGCTATCGGCAATCATGAAAACGTACGAAACGTCACTAAGCTCATCGGGTGATGATCCAGAAGCAGAGTTCGCGTCCATCATGGCTGAGGCATTCGACCCATTCATGGCTGGCTGCATCAATATGGCCAACCATGCCATCCCGCCGTCCAAATCCATCTTCCTGATCAACTGCTTCGTGGCTGCGCGGACAACGCTCTCCGGCTTCACTTTTGTTCGCAAATATGCTACAGATATACAGACCAAAATTGAGGAGGAAAAGGCTCGGTTGGTTATTGCACAGTACGAGCTGTTTAGGGCCGAGTCCGGTTTAGATTCCCTCATCGAAGCGCTGGATGGGCTAGACATACGGAAGAAGGATGATGTTGGAAAGGTTGCGACACTAGAGGAGGTTCAACCTGAAGCACTGCGACAGTTAAGTCAGAAGCTAGACGATTTCTTGCCATCGGCGCTGATTGATGCAACGGAAAAGCTCAAGAATCTGCAGGATTCCAAGCTGGCGAGCAGTGTGACTGAGGAGGCAGCCGAAAGATTCTGCGTGGATTTTGAACATGTGGAGGAGATGTTGTTGTCGGCTGACGAACTGGAGGAGCAAAGGAGAGTTGAGGAGGACGGCGACGAAGAACACTCCCAAAGTTTTCGGGCGCTGTTCCCAAGGACATCGAGCGAGATCCGCGTGCTATTGTCGTAGCGTGAGCGAAACGGCGAAGGCAGGAGAAGCCAGCCATTGTTTTTACTGACGGGACCCAGGTCTGCCATGTTCTCGTCAACATAGTTTCAATCTCATAAAAATCTAGCCTGCTGGGTAAGGTAAACCTTGGGAAGTAGCCGGAGCCGAGAACCCCGGTCGAGTGTGTACACTGGTGTGGTCGTCGGCGTATGACTGAAAAACGGCCCTCAAGTAGTGACAAACTTGGGTACATTTACAAGGAGATACAAGACTGACAGCTCTCGCATGGGAGGAGACTGAGCTTGAATCCCGACAGCCCTGTGAGTCCCCTCAAGCGCGGAGCCGCGGACGAGGAGGATCTGGAAGCTGCTGAATATTGGGCGGTGCGGGGCATCCCATTCGGCCGTCCCGATTTCCGATGCCCAAGAATAGGTACATACATATCGCATATCAACGTCATTTTCGGGCCGCGCCTGACGGGATGCTGATAGCCCCGATGGAAGCTCAGATGAACGATACACGTCGTGCTATCGACCTCCCCCTCAAGGGGAACGTCGGGTGCCACCTAAGGTAAATGTAGGTTGGGCCTGTTCGTTACTATCTAGAGGCCAAAAGGTAACAGGTGGAACGGGCCAAGGCAGACAAACAGACGAAAAAGGCGAGAAAGGCCCGGGTACCTGCCACTGTCTGCCAGGTCCCCGCCTTCCCGCCCCAATTGCCCCACTACGTCTTCAGCTAGGGAGCTAGGTCCCGTTTAGGCGGTTGCAACAACGTTCATAAGGCAACATAACTATACTAAAACAAAGATACCATCGATCCTATATGTAGGTTTACTGTGTGCAAGCTTAGATCCTGGATACCTACCTGGTATACAAAACCTTGATACTGACATCAAGACACTCAGTTAGTTGGCACGTCCTGGTCGCGAATCAACAACGCACATTGATTGCGTCAACGTCACGTTGCTCCGCCAATACGTCTCCTCTCCGGATTCCGGTGGCCTACAGAAGCGCGCTGGTACCTCTACGCCTCAAGAAACGTGGACCTGAGCCTTCCTTGGGGGCCCTTCGTTAGACCTGTTCTTCCATTCGGCAACTGCCTTCGGGACGTTTTGCGACCACCCGATTTTTCAACACCTTTCGCAACGGCGATGCCGTCTGTGCGCGTAGATCCGTAGTGTACAGGCCGATCCACAGCATCTGCTGAGATCCTGTTCTTGACCGGACACTCCCGTCTACCTAGGCCGCCCTTGGAGAGCGGGAGCCCGCTGCGCCCTTTTGAAAAGTGCACACAGACATTCCGTGATGTGTATACGTCTTACTTCTTACGATGCTGCGCAACAGATCAGCCGCTTCAGTTTTGCAGAAGACATACGATGAAAGCTACCTGACATGCTCCACTGCTGTCTATTACGAAGGCCAGGTCAGTATGACGTTCTGTGATCGTCATCCTTTTCTCCCATCTGTCAGTAACCAAGTGCTAATCTTGCGCGGTCATCTAGGGCAATGAGGATGAGGCTATGCGATGCTGGAAACAGGCACTCGAACAAATCTATGACCAGCAAGCAAACAAAATCTTGCCAGCCTTCACCCCACGTTCCGAGACGGAGAAGGCGCTGGTGGACAGTCTTCGGCAACTCGAGGTACAGTGCAAGGAACGAATTGATCTTCTAGAGGCCCTGCGTCTTTCGCGCCTCGAATCCCTCGAGCATGACGCTACACCATCCGCGTCACGTTTGTCACCGTTGCCGAACCCTTCAGACCCCCCCAAGGGCTGGATAGGTGACGGAACAATCCCAGCCGTAACCTATACAGACCTTTCCCGACCAACTCCCGCCAAGCGACCCTTTGTAGGGACTAGGTCCATCTCAGAACATACCATGCCTACACCTGGGCCTTCTGCCGAGGTGCGTACGCCAGGCGGGGAGTTTCCCTTTGCATGCACACGACCAGTGTTACCGTCGCCACCGTCGGCGTCAAGGCCTTCGCTCGAGGAGGGAACATCGTCAGGGACACGCAGCCCCGAGAAGCATACCATGCGCACAACCCTGCGGACCGGACGTTTGGGAGACAAGAGAACTAGCCATCGCCAGACGCCTCCAACCTCGGTTTCAGAACGCCCTGGTGCCAGTAAGGCAGCCTCGCTTGCCTGGAGCTATCTTGGGAAAAGAGAAAGATCGAGTCCGTCAGGGAGTGTCAGCGGTAATAGTGGGGGAACTGGCACCACTGATCAGACGAGTTCGGTACCGCTCGCAAGCTCTCCCTACTTAGTGGAAAGGCGACGTCAAAGTCCAGCGTTGGCAGGCCGGCAGCAGCAATGGGACACGCATACCAGGCGATTGGTCATGGGTCGTCCTCGGAGCCAATCCAAACCGCCTCATGCACGGCCTACTCCGGAATCATCGACACCCCGCCGTTCTGATGAGCATACACACACTCGCCAATCCTCCTTCACCATCAGCGCTGCTGCCGCATCAAGTGCACTCAACTCATTGACTTTGAGGGATAACAACGAGCGCTCGCCGTTGGAAGGGGGGGAAGGACCCCGGCGAAGAACCGCTCCGTTACAGACACCAAGGAGGAGGCCTCTGCCTGCGACGGGGAACACAGATGAGGAAGACACTGCATACTCTGCGAAAGGAAGCGCAACAACGACCAGAAAATCGAACAGAAAGATGTCCGATCCAACGCTGGCCCAACGGAAGCCCATCAGCCGAACTTCTTACCTAACAAGCACGGCAAGGCCTGCGTCGGGCAGATCGGCAACGACACAGGATGTTGATACACCTCGGATGAGCGCTAAGGCAAGGGGCAAAAAGCTTGAACAAGTCCCAATTTCGTCAAGTTCTGAGGATTCTGAATATGAAACTCCCCGACGGCCGACAACAAGACAGCACCTAAGACAAAGACTGAAGCAGAGGGATGTTTCCCTAGTTGCCGATACACCGGCCCACAACTCCAAAAGCCAAGAATCTGAAGGCAACGATGGGGCGGCTCAACAAAGGTCAGAAGCTGCCAAGTGGAACAAGCAAAAGGCAAAGATATTGCGCCGTCTTCCTCCAGGGGTTGATGAACATGCTGCGAAACAGATTCTAAACGAAATCGTCGTTCAGGGTGATGAAGTTCACTGGAATGACATAGCCGGCCTCGAGGTAGCCAAAAATGCACTTCGGGAGACCGTAGTTTATCCTTTTCTCCGACCGGATCTATTTAGGGGTCTTCGCGAGCCGGCCAGAGGCATGCTGCTTTTTGGGCCACCGGGAACAGGAAAGACTATGTTGGCGCGCGCAGTGGCCACGGAGTCTAAATCTACCTTCTTCTCCATCTCTGCTAGTAGTCTGACAAGTAAGTACCTCGGCGAATCAGAGAAACTTGTTAGGGCACTGTTTACGCTGGCAAAGGTATTGTCGCCGAGCATCATTTTTGTTGATGAGATTGACTCGCTGCTGTCGCAGAGATCTGGCTCTGGGGAACACGAGGCCACGATGAGGATTAAGACGGAGTTCCTCATTCAATGGAGTGATCTTCAGAGAGCTGCTGCCGGCAAAGAAACTGCAGCAATAGGAACAAAGGAAAACGGCACCGATGATGATGTGAACAGAGTCTTGGTGCTTGCCGCCACGAATCTCCCGTGGGCTATCGACGAGGCTGCAAGACGACGATTCGTGAGGAGACAGTATATCCCACTTCCCGAAGCTGATACAAGAGCAATTCAGTTCAAAACGCTCCTCAGTCAGCAAAAGCATACACTGGCCAACGAGGACATCAATGAGCTTGTGGATATGACCGATGGTAAGTGGCGCTACCCGTTCGTGAATGTTTCGCCAGCCAATTAACTCCCTGGCCGGGTTGCCCGCCAGATACCTTTTGCTAAGCACGTGCACCTCGCAGGATTTTCCGGATCCGATATCACAGCGTTAGCTAAAGATGCGGCCATGGGTCCTTTGCGGTCTTTAGGTGAAGCGTTACTTCAAACGACCATGGACCAAATACGCCCAATTGAGCTGAAGGATTTCGTCACCAGTCTGGCTACCATTCGGCCTAGCGTTAGCAAGGCAAACCTGAAGTTTTATGAAGATTGGGCAAGAGATTTTGGAGAAAGAGGCGGTTAGTGAGGGAGTAGGCCACGAGGCGACGAAACAGAGTAAGGTACTCAGCAGGCTGTCAGGGAATGGGTAATGTCTGGGTCTGGCAAGCTTGTAGCAATCACATCGAAGAAGGGTATTGCTCGCTGATACAAATCAAAGAGTGTGACAGGCATCACAACCATAGGTATCTATAAGCTGTCAGGGCAAGGAGCAGAGCGGAAAAGTAACGGTGCGCATTCGGAAAGCACCCATATGTGGCAGCAAAGAGGGTGGAGGTGATCGTAGTCCATCACACAGCAATCCAAGTAGAATTCCGCTTTGCTGGCCAGATAAATCGTTCAGCGCGCATTGAAGTTGGTTTGCACACTGCTATCCATGTGTCAATTGGTATAATCACCCTTCCATCCATTGCGCCCTTGCCCGTCGTTCGTTTCGAGAGGTTGACGAATAGTTCCGGACACCATGCTTCCCATCCCTTTTGTGACATCTAGCGTTGTCCTTTATATCGTACAGCGTGTCTACTTTGATAATCCTGCACGTATTTACCAACAGCTTGTGCTCGAAATCTGTTTATGCCTTCTCGACACAATCCTTGACACAAGTCTAGACACCTCGGACCATAACCAACGACCACCCCCCCTTCTCTCGCCTCCCCCAACGTCAACACCATCCTTTAGCAAAAGACACAACTAGTGAGGACGTGCATGAACCGACGTATGTCGGAATGCATCTCGCTCCAATCCTGGTCCCTCGTCTTCGTCACTCGGCTTGTCCACACTGCGTTCCTCAATCAACCTTTTGTAAGCTGATGATCTTCTCGCGCATCGCAATCTCCCTCACGGCGTGGCGGGCCATTCTCTCAGCAAGCTCAATCGCCTCCTCAGCTGCCTGGATCTTTTCCCGCAGCACCTTGCGCTCCTTCTTGGCCGCCTTTGCCGCGTCCTTGGCGTCCCAGAGCTCATCCAGTGAAGGGATGGGCGGGCGCTCCTTGATCGGCGTGCCGGCGGGCGCAATGATATGCTTGACCACGTGCCGCTTGGATTTGCTGGTGATAAAGCCGGGCATGATGGCGACCACGTCACCGGCACGGAGAGAGTTGTTGGGGTCGTGGACCAGGTATTGTTTTGGGTCGTCGAAGTGCTGGACGGGTGGAAAAGAAAAAAGAAAGGAAGAAAAGGTTAGCTGACGACTCTCCTACTATGCCCCGTGTCTTGGAGAATAGCCGTGGGTTCGCATACACACCTTCTGAAGGAACTTGTTGAACTTCTGCCCGCCTACCCTAACCTTGACCGTCTTATCAATCAGGCCAGAGGTCACGACGACACCGTGAAGTTCACGGAACATCTTCCGGGAGACTTTCGTAGCCGCTGCTATCGTCGAGGCCATTTTTGCTGACTCTGTTTCCTGTTTCCTTGTTTATTGTTTGGTGGCTGTCTACCCTTTAAGGGTTGATCTCGTATCCACGGCCTCTGGCAGGGTCCTTCTCGAATGAACTTGAGGACTTGCGGGGCAGAGTTCGGGTGACCGGTCGAATTTGATGCGACGATTCGGCGTTCGGTCGTTTCGGTGTTTCGGTCCCTTAACACAGTAGTCGCGTGAGGGAAAGATTTGCCGATGTGTGCGCGCAAAGGTCGCTAGTTGCGCGCCGTTCAGAACTTCCGGACAGAGTCGGGGCAGGATCTGAGGTCGTGTGGGCGGTGGTGATAGAGGTGACACTGCTATGGGCGGGAACACTAGGAGCGAGACAATGCTGCAAGGCACAGGCGCGCGGTCGGCCGCCCGAAAAGTATGTAATTGGAGCCGGCCGAGAAAAGACCGGGGTCCGGCTCGGGACGTGGATCCTCGCCGCCCCGCCATCCACTGCACCGCCAAGACCGGAGTGGACGGGGAGACGGGCTCGAAACGGGTAGTTTCATTCACCCGGTCAATTGACTGCCCCTGCATTCGTCGTCCCATGCCACTTGACCTCTCTACTTACTTACCTCTTACACTCATACCGCTGTCCTATTGGAAATCCCGTCTGTCGGCCTTTTTGCAACTCCTCTTTGGTCTTCGTTTACTACTCAGTCCAAGCTGCCCTGCCCTTGTCTTCATGAATGGAGATTGCTTCTATGGTCTCAACCTTGCTGGGGTCAGCGCTTGGTTGTGGTTAAAATGCTACGGCAGCCGTTACATTTCATCCTACAAAGGATATACGGAGCCTGTTGCTGCCCGCTTTGCTTCTCTCTGATGAAAATGACACACAACATTCAGATTCCCTTATCCAACACCTTCTAACATAACCTCCTCTCAACCTCCTCTGATACAACGCCTTACCTAATATCCTTGGCCATTTTAGGAACCAGCGAAATCTCTGCCGTCCAGTAAGAGTGACAACTGGAATAGTGATCCGCCGGCTAACCCGCGGTGAGTTTGACAAGATACCCCATACAGTGTTCGTCGATATACCCTCGAAGGCTTGCAAGCCGATCCAAACATGTGACTTGGGCAACCTCGTGTCCTCTCCTCTTTCCCTCCCCCCCCCCCCCCCCCCCCCTTTTTTTTTTTGTGCCCCATGCCAGGGCAATTCAGGGCTCTATCACGTTTTCCTGTGACTCTATCTACAGAATGTCATGTTCGCAAGAATCGCATTGCTGGGGCGAGCCACCTTGGTGGTTGAAAGAATGCTCGACATCACAGTAAATCCGGCCCGCAAATTAAGATCCTTGGCAGTTACCGTACAAGGCGCCGACTAAGCTACCGGTGTCGACCCAGTTTGCGGTAGCGACTCCGTCACCGGATGTAATGTCGACAAACTGTTGACAGCCCTGAGTTTGCCGCGCCGTGGAGGGGGGAGCTTGGGGGGCTGCTTTTTGGCCACTGGTCCACTCACCTTGCCATCACCAGATACGGCTGCCGCAGCCGAAGCCGCTGTCGGTGATGAGCTGCTAGCAGCAGCAACCCCGTGCTTGTCACCTTGAGCAAATGTGGAATTCTCGATCATCCTTGTTGGCGTATGTGGTGGTTGCGGGGAGACCGGCACACCATGGCGATGCTTTGGAACAATGGGAAGCGATTTCTGTGCCCTCAGCCGTCTTGCCGGCGGTGGTGACGGCTTTCGACGGCCTGCTGCTTTGTGCCCTTCGGTGGTACTCGATACCGAGAGATTCGAGGTTGTAGTTTCTGGCGTATCACTCGCGGGACTGACGGCGATTATTGACCTCACGGTGTCTTCCGCATCCTCCTGTTCATGCCTGAGCTCACGAGCGAGATTTGATTTTCGGCTTGGTGTTTCTATACCTGGCTTCTCGTGGACGTTTGCAATGACGCTAACGGTACTACCGTTTTGCGCCTGCGTAAGGCTCGTCATGGGAACAGGACTCAAGACGCCCTCATCGTCCACTAGCCATGGAATATTTGCGACACGCTCAACCAAGCGGAGGGTAGTCGGCTCGGGCGGTAGGAAGTGCGCACTTCCTGAGCCACGAAGTATTTCAAGCAAGCTAAGAATTTGATCGCGCTTGTAATGTGGCGGCTGGCTGAGCTGGGTGTGCGATAACAATGGAGCGAGAACGCGCAGATATGTGTGTCTCAAGGTATTCATTTCCACTGGCAAGTCGAGCAGATTACGAATGATGACGTCAAGAAGGACGCGCAAATCGTTGGTGTAAAAGTATTCATATGTCGCCTTGGTGGTGAATAACAGATACAGCAGCTTCAATATTATCAGCTGGAGTGATGTTTCGGTTGCTCGATTTAGAAGCAAGATGATGTTTTCGCCAAAAGTTCGGAAAGACGGGCCATGGAGGCTGAGGACTTTGACGACTCGGTTTGTGATATGAGTAACAGGCGCAGTTGGGTCAACAGCTCCGGATGCTGACGCAACCATGTATTGCTCGTTCATCACCAGCTTACCCATGGCCAACGTTAGTGGTTAGGTCGTAAAGCGGATTTGGGGCACAACAACATACCAGGACACGAATAACGGCGTAATGGTACGGATCGTCCACGTCGTCAGAGAAGGCCTCGATAAGTTGGAAGAGGTAAATGATGAATTCGTCTTCTACCTGAGCCAAGTCTTGATGCGGCAACTTTTCGATGCGAGACATCTCGTACATCAACTCGAGAAGTAGTCGGTGAAGACGGCCATCGTGCGCGCCGCAACTCTTGATGAGCTCGAGCAGTCGCAAAAAACATCCTTCGTTGACCATGCGCCGGAATGTCTCTTCCTCGGCACGGCCATCTAGCAGGAGGAAGTTGGAAATGACATGCAACGGCCCGTACTCGTCCTCCTGCAATAGGCTGTATATGATCTGGGTACGGACATAGTCGGCGTTCTGTCTGAAGATGCTGCTAAGTCGGAGCTGTTGGGAACAAGTCGCAATGTCGTCTTCATCGTCGAGATAGCGGTCCCGGCCGGTCGCGACCAGTTCAAGCCATGATCGCAGAACGTCGTCGAGGGACTCGGGGGTAGGACAGGGGGCGGAAAGGATGCTGTTCAGGGCTGCGAAAGGTATTTGTTCAGCAATTGAAACAAGCGCACCACAAAAGGGGAGGGCCATTTAGCAAGCTTGCTCACCGTGCCAAAACTGCTGCTCGTTCTCAACAGGCTCAGTGACCTCGAGGTCCGCCATGTTCTCAAGCGAGCAGCACCAATGTTGTCGTCGAGACCAATGGACTGGGCATCACGAAAGGCGGCGTGCTGGGATCGCATAGGCAATGTGTACCTTTGCCGACCTAATCCGCCACGTTGGATCTACTGGGTTATCGAGGCTGCGCGGGAGGATGTCGTTACTTGGGAAGAAAACGGGCAGTGAAATGCGGCGGATTTAGGGAGAGGCCTACTCGGTATAGTTCTAGGGTGCAGTCCATGCAAGGCTGTGGGGAGTTCCGTACTTTCGTAAAGTTGTAGTGCCCCCCCAGTAGTAACATCGGGGTTGTGGGGGCTGCCTTACCTACCTTAGATAGTACATACCACCTGCACACGTGGAGAGGTCTCTACGCCACCCGCCTTCCATCTCCAAGTACATATGTACACTCCTGCACACGTCTGAAGATGGGTAGACCGTCCCTCCAAGTACTTGTGATGCAAGACTGTCACTCAAAACGGTGTACGGCAGGCAATGCAGCGATGTACCTCTACCGTACGGCACATGTATGTATATTGGAGTCCCAGGCGGCAGCAGCAGAAGTAGGTTGGTAACATAGACCCCAACCTGCAAAAAGAGCAAGTGGGGCCTTTCTGTAGGCCGGGCATCATTCCATACCCGACTTCCACCATCTAAACTTGGTACCCCACGCCGGCAGTGTTCACGCCTGAAGCTTTAACCACTTCAATATCATATATTCAACGAACTAGGCAGACAAGTGGTCGGGTTGATCCCGTTGCCCTAACACATCAACAGTCCATGCCTCCGAAACGTCCTCAAGCAAGTCTTTTTGACTCTATAACAAGCCAACATCTCAACTTATGACTGAGCTTAAGGTCCACAACCCACGAACCTTACACTTCACCGCAGTGTCACCTTACATCTAAAAACCTCTTAACGCCCCAGGCCTCGTGGGCAGGTAGATACCATGAGATCGGCTATTCAGTATTCATGGTTGTCAACGTTCGGGCCACGCAGCATGCGGAGAGGTGAAAACCCTCATTTGGGGTGAACCCGTGGGGGTGCCAATATGCTCAAGCTATGGCTCCATACCTCGACCTGATCATCATCACATTCTTCGATAGGCATCTTTCTTTCCGTCATGAGATACCGTTATAGAAACCAGACGAATATTCAGGGCGCTAGCCACGATCCACATTCCCTGTTATCCTGTTCATCTTACACCCGAAGCCTCCAGCATTGGGCCCCCAAGTCGTGGTGCGTCGATGGTGAAGGGAAGGACAGGCACCAAAGGGGTTGTGATGGCGGCGCGCTGCTGCTCCCAGCAACGGCTCGGACAGTCTTTGACTACCAGATTCATCGAAGCGCAATGTCTCGGTCGTCAAGGGCGTAGTCGTTTGTCGCATCCGCATCGACAGATCTGAGGAGGAGGACCAATCTATATGCGCTGTTTCCGTTCAGATAATAACGGTGAAGCTTTTTGGAGCGGACGAAGCCCAGGCGCTCGTAAAGTCTCATGGCCGGGATGTTGGTCTCTTCTGTCTCCAAGACAATCTCGTCGGCGTCTCGCTGAGCCATGGCGTCGATGGCTCTCCTAACCAGTTCTGTCGCAATTCCGTGTCCGCGATGTTGAGAAGAGACGGCAAGCATAGCAATGTATCCGCGAAGAGTGGGCGGGGAGTGAGAAGCGTGCGGTTCGAGTTTGCAGATGATCACGCCTATAAGAGAAGAGTCGACTGGGTGCAAGGCCTGTTGGGTTTGTTGAGCGGTCAGCTCACCTGCCCCATGCCCATACGCAAGCCTGAACAGGTTGAGAACGTCCACATACCATAAAACACAAGTGGCCCCATTGGTAAAGAAAGTACCGATATACATATATGCTGTAAGGCTCGCTTAGGTCTTTTGATATCAGCGCGCGGATAGCTGGGAGGTATTCTGCCTCCAGCTTATGCTCATATTTGATGTACTGAAGCTCTTCTGGAAGCTCTTCGACACGCGGTACTTCCGTTCCTACCATCGCCTTTTCGGTTGTGGTTTCCATGTCGATAAGAAGCTGGATCCGAAACGTTTTTTGCTGCGTTCGAGAAGACGAAAAGGGGGGCACGCGGCTGGATTGAGATGGAGAATATGCTGTTCAGAAGTCCATACCTGGTTCTGTCTCAGCTGGGCGAGCTGGGGTGGTTAGGTAGTACGGAGGGGCAGCTCTGATTTCACATGTCTTTCTGCATGAGAGTCGACCGTAGTGAACTTACTGTGCAGTAAATAGGCCAGTTGCGTGTCAACATTTCCCTTGTAAGTGGATAGCCTATTTATCACAGACACCCCATCACTCGAAGCCATCCATTTTATTGTAAACATTTTTACTTGGTCCGCCCACACCTGTTCCTCCCATGCTTAATTCATCAGCCTCACGTCAGTGTCACGCCGCCCTGGCTTGGGGCTGTCTTCGGGGGACCTTGGATGTGTCGGATAAATACGCATCCCGTCACTCTTCTGTTGACGGCACTTGCGCCGTTAATGCAGGCTTTGGTGTCAACCTCCCAAGTGTAAGCGACAGCCTGAGGCTCGAGCAAGCCCGGTTCGAGCCCAGGGCACCCAAGTTTTTGAAGGTAGGCGCGGATTAACGTTCTGGTACGCTACTTCCGTTGATACATTCTGCATTGTATTCTAGTAGCTCACACATTTTGCGTTGATATTCCCTCGACTCCTGTCGTGAGGTGCGAAATCGCAGCTTCGACTCATCCGGAGGGCGAGATCGCCGATGACCCAAGTGATCCATACACCAAGAGTGGTGCCACACTCCCCGCTCCAGCCCTACGACCGTAGCGTCACCGGCAAACAGCCAGCCCACTATGTATCAGAACCCGATACGTACACTACATCACGCAATCCGAGCAAGCCCGCCAATTCAAAACATCACGCCCGCCCCATCCGGTGACCGGCTCGCTTATTTGACCGGTCCGACAGCCCGGCTCATCCGCACTTGCTCCAGCTTGCTTTTCTTTTGCCCTCCGATAATCTATCTCCCTCGCGCTGTACCGGCAACTTACGGCGGCGGCAACAGCCACGGCATCCTGAGAAATGGCGACAACTGTTCGGCGCAGGCTGGTCGGCAAAGACATCGAATGCGAGATTGCGTCGGAAACTGCCTCCGAGACCGCAACATCCCGCGAGCCGAGTCCCGATAATCAGCAGCGGGGAGTCACTTCCACCTTCAAGGTTATACACAAACGTCCCAAGACTCGAAAGCGCAAGACGACAGCAATATTCCTGTTGGGGAGTCTGTTTGGGATTATAGCAGCTGGCTTCTTTGCTAAAAGCAATGATCTGATTGATCTTCCTCTCCCCGAGCTCAAGGAGCTCAGTGTGGACAGCTTGTTCGAGGTATTGCCTGCCGGCTTTGTCAAAGAGATGCGTGACCTGATGGTGAGTGGAAACAATAGCGCATGTGGAGCTTTGCTGTTGTTGACGCATCTGACCTTACCTGCCGGCCTCTAGAACGGCGAACGAGACTTGATAGAGAGCGATGATGCCTTCTCGGTAGGCATGAAGATGCGCGCCGAAGGCCTATCGGCCGACCACCCTATAGTCATGATCCCCGGGGTCATCTCTACAGGTCTAGAATCATGGAGCACGTCTGAGCTGTCGTTGCCTTATTTTCGGAAGCGGCTTTGGGGAAGCTGGACCATGATGCGAGCTCTTGTCATGGATAAAGAGGCGTGGAAGAGGCACATCATGCTCGACAAGACAACCGGATTAGATCCCCCGGGTATCAAGCTACGCGCCGCCCAGGGTTTCGATGCAACCGACTTTTTTATCACGGGTTACTGGATATGGAATAAGATCCTCGAGAATCTAGCATCTCTTGGCTACGACCCAACCAACTCATACACAGCGGCTTACGACTGGCGATTAGCATATGCAAACCTCGAGGTGCGCGATCACTACTTTTCCAGGCTCAAGTCTTACATTGAGCAAGCCGTGTTCATACACAAGAAGAAGGTGGTTTTGACTTCTCACAGCATGGGCAGTCAGGTTCTGTTCTACTTCTTTCACTGGGTTGCTTCCGAGAAAGGCGGCCAGGGCGGCCAAGACTGGGTGGAAAGACATGTTGATTCATGGATCAATATCAGTGGATGCATGCTGGGAGCTGTTAAAGATGTAACAGCGATCCTTTCCGGTGAAATGCGGGATACGGCGCAGATGAATGCATTCGCGGTTTACGGTCTCGAGAAATTCCTTAGCAAGGAGGAACGCGCCGAGATATTCCGTGCTATGCCTGGAATATCATCCATGCTTCCCATGGACGGTAACGCTGTCTGGGGAGAATTGGATTGGGCTCCAGATGACCAGCCAGGCCAAGGGCATAGCTATGGATCGCTGCTTAATTTCCGCGCCGGGCAAAATGTATCAACAACACCGGACAGAAATTTTACGATCGAAGACGCGATGGACTATATACTTGACACAACCGATGACTGGTACCGCGATCAAGTGAAAGGCAGTTACTCTCACGGGGTGGCGAAGACGAGGGCGGAAGTGGAGGCTAACGAGAATGACCCTCGGAAATGGATCAACCCTCTAGAGACACGACTACCATTGGCACCAAGCCTCAAGGTCTACTGTTTCTATGGTGTAGGGAAGCCGACGGAGCGAGCCTACTTCTATCGGGCGCCGGATCCGGGAACGACAACGCATCTTAAGATGACGATTGATACGACTTTGACTCAGGGGCACATTGACCACGGTGTGATTTTGGGCGAAGGCGATGGCACAGTGAACCTTATGAGTCTGGGGTACATGTGCAATAAGGGGTGGAAAATGAAGAGATACAATCCTGCGGGCTCAAAAATAACCGTGGTCGAGATGCCGCATGAACCAGAACGGTTCAATCCGAGAGGAGGGCCGAATACGGCGGATCACGTGGATATTCTAGGAAGACAGAATCTAAACGAGTACATTCTTAGAGTGGCGGCAGGTCAAGGCGATACAATCGAGGATTATATTGCTAGTAATATTCTTGAATATGTGGAAAAGGTTAAAATTCATGAAGAATAATTAAATATAGTACGTAGATACTTGGTAGTATAATCAATTATATTTGTATTTTTAAGAATTAAAACTCAAATTAACCAACAAATTAGTCCTACATTATGTACAGCGTAACTCCGTGATAGTATATTCTCTTGGTACTAGTCTATGTTCCCCCGTTTCGAACATGCATATACAAACACACACATTATAGTATCATCTATCCCGGCGGTAGTCGAGTGGAGACTAAAGCCAAGATCGGCTCTTCCCAGTTTCCACCATGCGGTTCCACCCCCGACTTACACTACGCAGTACACGTATCTATATATGGCTCAGTACCATAAGGTACAGAGTCACCTGCAGGGTAAGCGATAGTAGTGATACATGGATGACGATACATGCAATCAGGGAAGAAGGTACCTATCCGACCTCATCAGCCATCCATCTTGTAATCTCGGGGTGTGGACTTCTCAGTGGGTAATCAACACTGGCCTTTCAGAGATCCATCTCCAGGGTCCCGACCTTCTTCCGGTCAGTACGCAGACCGGCGTGTTAGACGTTCATTCCGCATGTTTCTGTCCTGTCAATTTCCTCTGCACTAGCTCCATGCAATTCCCCAGAGCTGCAGGCCAAGCTCCCCTTCATCCCATTCATCCCATTCATCCCTTTGCCTACCTGGGTTCTACATCGAATACCGCAAACAAATAGGAAAGACTTCACTTCCACACCTCACTTACAGCCAGAGAATTTTGTCCTCTCACTCTGTTAGGTTTTCAATCCGGGTACCTCCAAGGCTTCGAGCCGACTTTCACGGCATCTGGCCCATCTCGTTCGTATCGCGGCGGTCTGTCTGTGCTGGCATAGTAACTGGATTCCAAAGGTGGCATTCCCGCCTCCTTGGTTCTGCCGGCTCCTCGAGTGAATAGAAGCCTCCAGGCACAACAATGTCTCCATCGTTCCTAAACTTCAAGGAGATTCGCCGGCGATCGCGAAACAGTTTCAAGACGGAACGCTCGACCGACGGCTCGAGTGGAGCAAGCAATGGCACTGCGCACACCACCGGCTCCTTGACTCCTCCGTCCTTCTCCTCGCAGCAGTCGGACCCGGCTCTCAATATCCACGTTAACAACCACCAGTCAACATCTCCAATTCCTCCTGCTACTGCCCCTTCGCGCCCGGCGCCACATCCGTACACGGGAAACCCAAACAGATATAGTGTCTCGGGTATGACAGGTCTAGGATCGCCAACGCCAAACGGCAGGGGCCCCAATTTGCCCGTCTCGCAATACTCTCCACGCATCACCAGTATTCAGGACAACTCATGGGTGAGTTGAAGTTGATTGTGCCTGGCCACTTGCTTACCGCTTGCCTTGATTAACCAAACCATCACAGGTCTACCAAAAGGTCCTACTTGTTTACGGTACCGTTGGGGAGCCTTCTCAGCAATCCCTTGACGGGACCGTGACTGTCAGTCGACTTGATGACAGCTTCCCCCCTCTCAGCTGGCCCGTATGCGACTCCCAGTTCAAGGCTCTAGTCTACATGAACCCCGGCGCAAACCGACTACGCTTCGATTTTGCCAGCCCGAAACTCGCTAACAGCGGATCAACGAATCCCATTCACGCCTCCTATCTAACAATACATATGCTTCCAGCGACCAACGCCCCTCCTCTCCAACTCGCCATTTTGCTCGCCAGGGATTCTCCCGCTACATATGATGCCGTTCCAGCCAGGATCGAGCGAGAAGGAAACGGTTTGGAGACGGCAGTTCGAAAGTTCCGCATGGCTGCGTATCTGTGGCAGGCATTTACGGCGGAACAGATGTGGCGCAACAAGTTTGGTCGTCGCGTGTTTCGGCTCGAAGAGGAGTGGACTACGGGCTCGGCAAACCAGAGGGATAGAGAGCAGGGGACACTACGGTCTGAAGCACGCATCCACATTATCAGGACGAACCATACCCTAGCAGAGCTCCGCGACATGAATAAGGCGCAGCAAAACAAAGATGCCAACCAAAAGGATGCTCTGTTTGGCATTGCTGTAGATGCGGTCAAAGACCACTTCAAGCCGCTTCCGGGACAGAAACTATACGTTTCTGTCTTGTTGCTAGACTCACACTGGGATACGACTCTGAAAACCGTTACCGCGCACGCCGCGCTCGGAGGGGGGGTCGGCAATCTGCAACTGGCCATGTTCGGGTCACACTGCCTGCAAAGCTACCCGACAAGCTTCGAAGAAGTGGTCCCGGCATTCAGTG